TCATACACAGATAACCATCGATGGCTTACATACTTCTGAGGCATTGTGAATGCTACTCCCAGTATGATGCAGATTTCTGTCATGTATTCTCTCAAATCTGGCGACCATTTAAAGTCAGAGTATAAGTCATTGAACATACTCTCCACATGATAATCAAATTGTTTACAGAATACTTTAGCTGCATTGTGGGCATGTTGACATGTATCACCATCTATATCAAGAAGGTGTGGAGCTACTTGTCTACGAATCCGTGTTTCGAGTCCAGACTGAGACCTACGCATCACATTACAGCTATCCATTAAAATAGACACAACATTTGTCCAAGGCACTTGTTCAGCATCAAACAAGGCACATATCTCCTTGAACAATGACTCACTGTTAACTCAAATGACACGAATTGATTGAAAATGTTGAACAACTTGTTTTTGTTCTGGTGAAAAGTAACTAGCCAGTATAGCTAACACTTTTTCATTACTGTTGCTGGTGCTCTCATCTAGATTTAGTGAGAATTTTGTTGTTCTCATCATTTCGACTACACTATCATGCATAGTTTTGGGAATGCCAAACCTAGTTTTGTAGGAGGCAGTTGTTCTGTTCATAGACAGGGAATTTAAAGCCTTTGGGTCCTTAGATAATGTTTTGGATAGTTCAATAATTCTGGGTGTCATAGAAAATGGTAGACTATATTCTGACACAAAACCCAATACGGTTGCCTCTGCATTCATAATTCTATCTGCCATAGGTGTCATTGGTACTGGAACTGGCTTTTTAATTTCTAATGTCTTAAACATAGGGTGGACACCATACGGTACTTGTCCTGTTCCATTTGTTGAAGGCGTTCCAAATGCACCTTAAATAAAAAATAAATTGAGATTGACATATCTCAACGAGGGGGACAGAATGTGTTGAGTTTTGTCAGCTTCACAGAACAATAACTTAAGAAAAGAGCTGTAATATGTACATGTTATTAGTATGCAACTTCAAGTTTGTGTATCTCAAAATTTTGGTGGTTAACCTCATACAAATTGGTGTGTAAAGACATGGCAATTTATTTCTCTGTCTGTAGTGAAAAGTAATCAGCCCAACAAAAATTGGGTGAAAAGTTAAAGCCAGGCAAGAGACGGAATTAACATTGAAGTCAATAGGGAAATTAATAGAGGTCTGCTTCCTACATTGACCATTGTGTAAAATTGTTCTAAGCTACTCATTCAGCAAACGTCGACAGACTCCTGTACCATATATATATACTGGTGTACCGGAATTAACCGAGGTTTTCCGAATACTGATCTGCTCACACAAACATCAAAATTATAAAAAAAAAACCAGTTTTAATAAATTTCCTACCTGACAAACTTTGGTTTTGATCCCATATCTTAACTAGATGGCAAGGTTTTTTTTGCCCAAGATGCTGCTCCAGGGCCTTCCACCCCCGACTTCCATAATTGATTTCTTTGCTGCATACGTGGCAGTAGCCTTTTCCCGGCTGACGCAATTTTCTGATGAAAAGGCCCACCGCCTTCCCACCCACATCCCTCTCTAACCAACTCCATTTCCGTGGATTCTTTACATCATCAATTGCCTTTGTATCGTGGATGTCATCTCGATAAATTATTTGTTTAGCCGACATTTCATTTCACTCACAGCGGAGAAATCATTCGGAAAAAACTACAGAGGTGTACCGAATGTTCAAAAATGGGACATTTTGTCTCATAGTATTTATTCGTAGACAGATTCGTATTACAGTTTTCATTTCCAAAGACTTCAAATTTAATTTTAATACCTACAGGTGGCTTGGACGACAGGATAATAAGATTCAGTTTAATATTAATATCATCCCGACAATGTCAATATTCTGTTCCAAACACGCGTGACATGATTAGTACTAATACTACGAATCAACTCACACAGACCTGACTCGACACGAAACCACTCCTCGAGACAATTTCCAGCAGATTATGATTTCTTGGAATTTCATTGGAAAATAATTGTAGTCTTGATTGTGCAGGTCGAAATTTTTAATTCTACAGGCCGATAATAACCGTCGAGGGCCTTGATAATAAAATGAAATGAAATGGGGTTTAACATCCTACTGTTCTGCTCCTATACTGGGCTAATGAAGACGGGCATACGCCATACAGTGTGCTATGAGGGAAATTTTGCCCGGGCAGCGGCACTATCGCCTACTCTTATATCGAATTCCAACTGCCAAGGGATCTTTTACGTGCATTCCAATGTTTACACAGGACCTCAGTTTTTTGTCTCATCCGAAAGACTAGACAGCTGTTCTTGTCAGGCCCTCTGTCCTGCATCACTGACAAGGGGAAACCACCACTGAAAATCGGGATGGATAATGAAGTAAACTGTGTTTACTTTTAACACTGGGTTTGAGGTGAAGGAGTGTGTTTTTTAATCAACATATAACGTCTCTTCTCCCTCTTAGCACTTGGTCAACATGCATTACCCTACCCCCCTCCCCCATTTTTTTATTGCAAATTCAGACGAATCACAGGAACGACCAAATTTTGTTAACTTGATATAATACTGTATTATATCAAGTTAACAAAATTTGTTTAAACCTTTTCCCTTCAATCTTTTAGATTGTGTGACAACTATAACTACCAGCGGCAGCCAGGCAGGATACACCCACATTTTTCAAGAGATGGATAGAGAACAAGCCAAACAAAAAGCGATTTTTCGTAACATCAATGGACATAATTCAGGAAGGTACAATCAGATATGAGCGAATATCAACTGGAACCAAAATCTTTGGGTTATAAACATGCATTTCAAATTTCATTAAAATCGGATCAAAATTGTGACCTCTAGAGGGTCCACAACCTTGATATACCAGATGTTACACTATTAGTGTAGAGGGGCAGCCATTTTGTCTGGCAGTTTTGGTCTGATTTTCATGAAAATCGAACTCAACCATCATTAAGGTGTAACTGTGATATATTCAAATGTTTTCTTTCTAAATCGGAATAAAATTCTGACCTTCATAGGGTCCACAAGCTAAAACCAGCAGCTGCCAGGCAGGATACGCCCACTTTTTCGAGAGATGGATAGAGAACAAGCTAAAAAGAAAGTGATTTTTCGTACAATCAGGGGCCATAATTCAGGAAGTTACAGTCCGATATGCGCGAATATAGAAAGGAACCAAGATCTTTGGGTTATAAACTTACATTTCAAATTTCAACAAAATCTGATAAAAATTGTGACCTCTATAGGGTCCACAACCTTGATATACCATATTTTTTACGCTATTTGAGAATGAAGGGCGGCCATTTTGTCTGTCAGTTTTGGGCCGATTTGCACGAAATTTGAACTCAGTCGTCCTTAGTGTGTAACGGTGATATAATAATACGTTTTTTTTAAATCGGATAAAAATTATGACCTCTATGGGGTCCACAAGCTAAAATCGCGATTTTTCGTAAAATCAGGGGTCATAATTCAGGAAGTTACGTTCCGATATGCGCGAATATCGAAAGGATAAAAATTATGACCTCTATAGGGTCCACAAGCTAAAAAAGTGATTTTTCGTACAATCAGGGGCCATAATCCAGGAAGTTACGGTCCGATATGCGCGAATATCGAAAGGAACCGAGATCTTTGGGTTATAAACTTACATTTCCAGTTTCAACAAAATCGGATAAAAATTGTGACCTCTATAGGGTCTGTAACGGTGATATAATAATAGTTTTTTTAAATCGGATAAAAATTATGACTTCTATAGGGTCCACAAGCTAAAAATGCGATTTTTCGTACAATCAGGGGCCATAATTCAGGAAGTTATGGTCCGATATGCGCGAATATCGAAAGGAACCGAAATCTTTGGGTTAAAAACTTACATTTCAAGTTTCAACAAAATCGGATAAAAATTGTGATCTCTATAGGGTCCACAACCTTGATATACCATATTCTTACGCTATTTGAGAACGAACGGCGGCTATTTTGTCTGTCAATTTTGGGCCGATTTTCACGAAATTTGAACTCGATCGTCCTTAGGGTTTAACGGTGATATAATAATAAGTTTTTTTCAATCGGATAAAAATTATGACCTCTATAGGGTCCAAAAGCTAAAAATGCGTTTTTTCGTACAATCAGGGGCCATAATTCAGGAAGTTACGGTCCGATATGCACGAATATCGAAAGGTACCGAGGTCTTTGGGTTATAATCATAAATTTCAAGTTTAAAATAAATCGGATAAAAATTATGACCTGTACAGTGTTCACAAGCTAAAAACGTGATTTTTCGTACAATCAGGGGCCATAATCCATGAAGTTACAGTCCGATACATGCCAATATCGAAAGGAACCGAGATCTTAGGGTGATAAACCTATATTTCAAGTTTCATTGAAATCGGATAAAAATTGTGACCTGTAGACTGTTCACAAACAATTGTGGACGGACGGACGAACGCACGGACAGGGGCGACGACAATATAGGGTCCATAAGCCAAAAACGTGATTTTTCGTACAATCAGGGGCCATAATCTATGAAGTTACGGTCCGATACATGCCAATATCGAAAGGACCCGAGATCTTGGGGAGATAAACCTATATTTCAAGTTTCGTTGAAATCGGATAAAAATTGTGACCTGTAGAGTGTCCACAAACAATTGTGGACTGATGGAAGGACGCCTGGACGGAAGGACAGATGGACAGAGGCGACGACAATATACAATATTACAGCCTCTATCTAAGCCTTGAGCCCTGTATTATGTCTAAATAGTCACACACACAGCAACTAAATTATTAAAAGGGCCGAGTGTCAAGCAAGAGAGAATGATCTGTTCACAATTTGAATAATATTTCAATGTCTTTTTGAACAGATATCGATTATGCAAGTATTGGCAAAATGGCCATGTATCGGCCAATACCAATTTCTACTAATAGGCCATTTATCGGTCAATTACCGATGGTGAAACCGATAATCGGAACATCACTAGTAAAGACATTGATGATTATATTATTTATAGTTTTATATTCAAAATATCTACCTTTTTAATATAAACAATTTTCAGTGCCTCTACAGCTTCAGGATGATTAGGACGTAATTTTAGAACTCGTTCATACGTCTCCTCTGCAGAATCCCAATCTTTTTTATCTGAATGTCTAAAACACAAAATTAAAAAGACTGATTAGTACATTCTTCATTAGTATTAACATATTTGTGTTGTATTTTGTTTGTATTTCTTTGCAAATTTTGAGATAGGTAATACTGTAAAGCGTACACTATAAGATTGGTATCGTTTAATATGGTTGTTTTAGCGCGAATAACGATGCATACAGTTTAATTTCAAAACATCGTTTGATAATTGATAATAGCGCTTGAAAATTACAAAAATCGTTTAATTAGTATTATCGTTTAATTTAATGGTACACAGTTGAATTTCTCCAGATCTGTTTAGAAATGGGGGATCCGTTTACTTATCTAATGGGTTTAATTACTAGCCGAGCACTTTAATTTCCCGATGAATTTATCTACAGGGTTTAAATATTAGACGAAGCGTTTAATTTCCCGCAAGTCGTTTATTCGATCGTTTATTTTGATTTCGATTATTTACGTATGAATTACGAATAGAAAAGGTGAATATAAACAGAAAATGCACAACCATCGATGCTCGCCTTACCGTGGTCGTAGTATTATTATCCATTATCCATTCAAAATAGTAATTCCGCTTAGACAAATACATCAAAAATCGGTAAATCACGTTCAAGGTAATTAAACATTTGGTGAATATAAAGAAAAGCACACCCATCGATGCTCGCCTTACCGTGGTCGTATTATTATTATCCATTCAAAATAGTAACTCCGCTATTGACAAATACATCAAAAATCGGTGATATCGTAGACAAGTCACACACATCCCAGGTAATCACATATGAATAAACTTCCACCTGTAGACGCCACAGGAAGAGATCGAAGTCAACCCCGCAATGTAATGTTGAACGACGATAATCTCATGAGACTTCTCACTGGCGCCAAAATCTCTATAGACAAGCTGTCACCCATTTTCATGCGGGTCAAACAGTATCAACAGGAAATATGCTTCAATGAATACTGCCTTGATGTTACGTAAACACTTGACTGCAGTACAACGATTACACCATGCGTAAATATAATTCTCAATTGCATGAAAATTCTTAAACAAAAACATAAAAAAATCTCAAGTAATTACGCATTGTTTGGATTGCTTCATTTAATTAGCTAAGTGAGAGTTCGGTTGTATTTACATACGTAATCCGATTTTAAATAAAATGTTAAACACTTAATTAATTGTTATGGATTAATAAAAAGATAGGTTGCCAGGCAACGAAACATACGCCCACAACAGCTAAATCGTCCGGGCAGTCAACAAGGGTTGTCGCATATTTTTACTTTTTTTGGTAATGAAACATTTATAATACACTAAAATCTGATTAAGAGCAACAACTCACGAAGTAATTATCAGAAAACTATTAGAATTTGTTTGGTTTTTATAAAGTTCTGCCCCATGCTAACGTTTTTGTATGCAAAGCTTTTAATATCATGGATTTAACTGTTCAAGTCATAAAAATTCATTGAAAATCAATATACTTGTTCGTCTCAAGATCTTAAACTCAATCTGAAGTCAATCGGATTATAACTTTAGCCTTTAAAGCGTCACAAGATTTTGCAAAGTGATCAAGGGCCATAACTTTGGCAGTAATTATCGGAAATCGTTGAAAATCCATAGGAATCTTCGTCTCATGACCTCAAACACTGTGTATAAACTCAATCGGATATTAACTTTAGCCTCTAGAGCATCCACAAGATTTTTTTAAGTGATCAAGGGCCATAACTCTGGCAGTAATTATCGGAAATCGCTGAAAATCAATAGGCTTCTTCGTCTCATGACCTTAAACACTGCATAAATTGAAAGTCAATCGGATATTAACTTTGGCCTCTAGAGCGTCCAAAAGATTTTTTAAAGTGATCAAGGGCCATAACTCTGGCAGCAAATATTGGAAATCGCTGAAAATCAATAAGCTTCTTCCTCTCATGACCTTAAACACTATGTATAAATTTAAAGTCAATCGAATATTAACTTTGGCTTCTAGAGCATCCACAAGATTTTCTGAAGTGATCAAGGGCCATAACTCTGGCAGTAATTATCAGAAATCACTGAAAACCAACAGGCTTCATCATCTTATGACTTTAAACACTGTGTATAAATTTAATGTCAATCGGATATTAACTTTGGCCTCTAGAGCGTCCAAAAGATTTTTTAAAGTGATCAAGGGCCATAACTCTGGCAGCAAATATTGGAAATCGCTGAAAATCAATAAGCTTCTTCCTCTCATGACCTTAAACACTATGTATAAATTTAAAGTCAATCGAATATTAACTTTGGCTTCTAGAGCATCCACAAGATTTTCTGAAGTGATCAAGGGCCATAACTCTGGCAGTAATTATCAGAAATCACTGAAAACCAACAGGCTTCATCATCTTATGACTTTAAACACTGTGTATAAATTTAATGTCAATCGGATATTAACTTTAGCCTCTAGAGCATCCACAAGATTTTTTGAAGTGATCAAGGGCCATAACTCTGGCAGTAATTATCAGAAATTGTTGAAAATCAATAGGTTTCTTCGTCTCATGACCTTAAACATTGTGTATAAATTTAAAGTCAATCGGATATTAATTTTGGCCTCTAGAGCATCCACAAGATTTTTTGAAGTGATCAAGGGCCGTAACTCTGGCAGTAATTATCGGAAATTGCTGAAAATCAATAGGCTTCTTCGTCTCATGACCTTAAACACTGTGTATAAATTTAAAGTCAATCGGATATTAACTTTGGCCTTTAGAGAGTTCACAAGATTTTTTGAAGTGATCAAGGGCCATAACTCTGGCAGTAATTATCGGAAATCGTTGAAAATCAATAGGCTTCTTTGTCTCATGACCTCAAACACTGTGTATAAATTTAAGGTCAATTGGATATTAACTTTGGCCTCTAGAGCGTCCACAAGTTTTTTCAAAGTGATCAAGGGCCATAACTCTCGCAGTAATTATCGGAAATTGTTGAAAATCAATAGGTTTCTTCGTCTCATGACCTTAAACATTGTGTATAAATTTAAAGCCAATCGGATATTAATTTTGGCCTTTAGAGCATCCACAAGATTATTTGAAGTGATCAAGGGCTATAACTCTGGCAGTAATTATCGGAAATCGCTGAAAATCAATAGGCTTCTTCGTCTCAAGACCTTAAACACTGTGTATAAATTTAAAGTCAATCGGATATTAACTTTGGCCTCTAGAGCGTCCACAAGCAATTGTGGACGCCGGACGGACGGACGGACGGGGGCGACGACAATATACGACCACATTTCAATGTGGGCACATAAAAATGATTAACTGAGTGAGATGTACGAAACTTTATATACCGGTAACAATTATGGAAATTCTTGTATATATGATGTAATAAAAACATTATAGTAAATGATAAAAAAATCAGTTCCCGGGAAAAGTATGATAATTCTTTAACAACCAATGGTTTTCTCAAATTAGTATAAAATTAATACAGAAATAAATCATTAAATGGTTATAAAGCTGTGATAACTTACCAAAAGTTGTTACATGTATGTTTTTCTTGATAAAATATTAAAATCAAAATGAAAAAGACCGAGAATAAGCTTACGGTCACATACATGTATAATTGTGTTAACTCGTCCACTCAAATCCGAATTTATATCATTGCACCTCGAATTCCGTATAAGAATCAGCTTAGAATACCATAATGCGAATCGTAACACATTGTGGTCTAAACTGTCATAAAATAAATGATAAATCAATGGAACCTGTTAGAAGTTGGTAATGTTGGTTTATTTAAGGCGCCACGTAGTCTTAACAATTGAATACAACACGTCTCGAAAAATCGGCTATGTGCAAAATGTATTCTTTGATCTCATATCACGGGGCAATTCTGTGACCCACCTGCATGAGCCTAAAAACATTACAAGTTCTGCCATGATAATTTCAGTGCACTTCTCGCGAACCGACGAATCGGATATATTTAAGTGTTTGAGATTGCTTTATTTACCACCCGCTTCCACGGAGGCGATATCGCAGACAATAACATGTTGTGTATATATGGTGCAATATTTTACATTGTGATTAGTTAAAACAGGGATTAAATAATTATTAGATATTTATATATATGCACAGTAAAAAAGGTATTGAGATTCGTCTTTTAACTATGATTATCATATTAGTCATTAATCACCTCTGAATCTATATCCCCATACACATTAATTACAGAAAGGGTCTGTGTATACACGCCATTGTGAGCGATTCACTTTTTAGTCATCCGATGGTTATTTTGAAAATACACGTACAACACAAAGTCATAGATGTCCGCTGTGACAGTAAAGATTAATTATTTGATTGGTCGAATGCTATTGTTTCATTGATTCCCACCTGTGGCCACCTGTCTGGGTACTATATGAAACCATGTTTTTGAATACACATTCCGTTATTACAGTATGGATTAATGCTTTGATTGCTCAAATGCTATTGTTTTATCACTTCCCACCTGCATTATTAGGGTTTCACACTGCGTAGCTTGTGTGAAACACTATTGTTTTTGTTAAAATTATTATTCTTATTATTATTCTTCTTCTTTTGTTTTGAGTAGATCTCAGCAACTGATTGTCGGATCGTTACGATTTCTTCGGTTTTATCGGAAAAGTGGGTGTGACTTAGAGGATAAAGCTATTTTGAACGTTCTGCGACAATGCGAAATGTCCGAAATCACCGAAGCTATCGTTTTTAGTAATATTGCAGTAATTTTAACAATAATCATTGGATTTTAACTTTCGATGCATTTTGGCATAGCCGGAGACGGGGCACATAGCTACGCTACTTTTGATTTTTGATTTTCGGCAAATCTTCGCAGATATTAGGCGCTAAATTTAGAAAATTTAAATTTTTACAAAAAACTTTTTTATTTATGAATATTTTTTAGTCGTGTTTTACACTTGGGCAAAAATGTGAAAATTTTTTGTCTCGGTAATTTTCCTTGGCCCCCATTGGCTAATTCAGTTTTTCAGTCCTAGATTAATTATTTATTGTTCGATTTGTATAAAACAAA